CAAAGCCCCCCCCCCCCCCCAAAATCATCAAGAAATTAATTTCATGGGTTACTTTGAGGTAAGTCAAAAATAGATTGTATAAAAACATATATATCATATATTCATATATACTGGTGAAAAAGCTAGAGCTGACTCTGACACCAAACTAAATCCAGAGGAGAAACTGATCTCACTGTGTCTTCTTTGATGGATTTGTCCAGATAATCTCTGAACAGCTTGTGCCACACTTTAATTCCAAAAAGAAGCTCTTGCTCTTCAGTCCCGAGGTTTACTGCTAATGTCTCAGAGGAACTGTTTTTTAATGCCCTCATTTCCAGCTGTGCACGAACAGTCTCAGCACCACATATGGCGCTTCAGACATCAGAAAAATACAGCAGCTGTAGCTTTAAAAAGAATTGTTTTCCATCCTATGAAATAAAGTTGCCTAGTTTATAGGAATTGTTTTGAATTTTTTTATTCTCCTTCATGCTGAGAATTAGATGAGAAGACACTGCTCACATGTCTGTGCAGTAACTAGGGTAGGAGCTCATTCCAGGAGACAGTTAGCTTAGCACAAAGACCAAAACACGAGTACATTTTATTTTGCAGAATATCCAGGAAGTTACTGCTCCAAATAGACTTTGAGACATAATACTGGGGAAGTGGTGGTTTTATACTTTGGTGTTTATACTAATACAACAATTGAGATCATGTGTTAATACTGTAAGTGAGCATTAGACGTCCTGTCAGGTGGATTTTATTGGCTCTGGATGGAGCCACATTGTTGTTTCCCCATCTCTGAATAGCTAAGCTAGAACAGCAGCTAAATCCGGCTAAATGTGGCAACATCCAAATTTCTAAATAAAGTGATTAAGTGCATTTCCCAAAATGATGAATTACTCATTTTACTAGTCTAACTCTTGCTATGGGATGCAAAGCAAACATTTTAAAACTAAAGCTGTTTAAACAGGATATTTCTGTATACACTGTGTTATTATCCACATTAAGAGCAAAAATCCCTTTCTCAATGAAAAATGATTTAATGATTGTAACATTCAATAGAGGTTCAAGAAACCTATATGCTGTATTTTCATGTTGCTCTTCCTTTAGTCATCAGCAGCAGCTGCACCTGGAGATATGATGTCAAGAGCTGTAGACACTAAAGTTATAATAGTTGTAATGATCACAGCAGAAGCAGAACGAGAATGAGAACTGGCTGATCTGCTGGTCCAAGTATGAGTAATGTATGAGAGACGTGCTGTATTTATTTATAGATAGACAGACAGACAGACAGATAGATAGATAGATAGATAGATAAAAAAATTCTCTCTCTTACCTTGAGCAAGTCTCCCTTATTGAAACTGAGTTCATCACCCTCTGTGGCACGAAACGTATACAGTGCCAATGCTTCCATGCCGAAACCCTCCAACACTCACACGCATACACGCTACGGGACCCCCACTAATGCCCCTGAAACGGGGGCTGACAAAAAAGGATAAATAAAAAAGGAATAGGTAAAGAGAGATGATATGATGATAGAACAGGCAGAAAGACGAGAGAAAAAGAAGAGGAGGAGGCTGCGGTCTGGTCTGTCCACTGAACCTGAGAGCGCACCAGAGAGTCAGAGCAGAGGATGAGAGAGCATGAGCTCAGCGAGGGGAAAAACACGACTGGCTGCTGCTGAGCAACACACTGCCATGAGTAACAGAGAGAGGGAGAGCAGGGCAAAGTGAGTGGGAGGCACTTCCTGTGTATATATTTGTCTCATACATGCAGTGAGGTTTCTATGGTTTGTCGTTACACTTCTGTCTTTGTGCAAACCAGCTTTAGTTTTTCACTCAATTGGAGTGAAAAGTGAGCTCATGTTGGCTCTTCATTTAGTACCTTTGAAGACAGGCAAAGGTCAGGACAAGGCAGAAATAAAAGAATCATACACTCTAAAGTAGATACAAGTAACACTACACACAGCAAGCTGACACATTTCAAATTGAGTTTCAGTCTGTACTTGTTGCAGCCATAACAAGGGATTGACTTCGCTTTGCCAACTCCCTTCCCATCCATATGTACATGTGACTCTACAGAACTGTTGTAGCTTCGGTTGGATTTGAGATTTGCAGTGGATCCAGGGTTATACCTTAAAAAATGAAAGAAAAGGGGTGTCTGTTATTTATGTCACCACACTGCATTTTACACACCCCAGAATCTTAAAAAAAAACCCACTGGGCAGCTGAATGAACCTGATAAAACCAGTTTAGTGTTTTTAAATAATACTGTTAGTATTTCCCACTTATGGCCTGATGGCAGTAGCAGGTAGCTAACATCATCTCTCTGTGTCCTGGAAACAGTTTGGTTTTGTTAAGGTAAAGCATTTGAGTTAAGTACTGAAGAGACATGCTCAGGATTTGCTCATAGTGTTGGGAGCAAATCGGGCTGACATTCTGTGGGTGTAACACAGCCTAAATGCAATTTCAGTTTTCCTCAGTTCATCTGCAGCAGCCCTCAAAGCAGAAATTTGCATTAGAAAAAGAGGATAATTATTGTTCTATGAGAAATTATTGTTCCAGTGAAGTGACAACAAAGCCACTGGTTTAAAAGATAAATATGGAGCAAACTCTGAAATGTGTTGCTCTCATATACTGTATATAAAAGATGGACTTTGCGTTACCATTTATGCAAAAGTGAAGCCAAAATATTGTGAATATGGTGGCTGCCATCTTGACATTTTGCAACCAGATACTGTGCAGTAGTGCCCGAGTAGTTGTGTGACGTACCAGACCACCAATCAAGGCTGTCAATTCATCAGACATGCACTATTTATATCATTAAATAACTTAGTACAAATGTATTGCAAGTGTGATGATATCTACCAAATATGACAGAAATCACCTCTGGGAAATTTTATTTGATTTGTGCTTTAGCTCATGTCCCATCTTCTAACATGTAGGGGGCAAATGGAACAACCTGAGGGAGTGTCACAGTCAGGCTCCATTTATATTTCTGCATTAAGGGGTTACACCGTGCCTATGGTGGCTAAGCTAAATGATGCTAAAACGGAGGTTATAGTGTTTGGCCAGAATACGTCTGGCGACCCTCTTCCTGTAGACTTAGGCTTTTTGGGGCAGTATGTGCGATCGGTGGTCACTGAT